GAGCTGACATTATAATTGAAACAGGAACTCAATTATATCTTTTGTCATAAACAGGGTCAACAAATTTGAAAGTTTTTAGCCATAAACAGGGTACCGCTTTCAGTACGAATCCCAGCGGAACACCCCTACCCAAATCCACCGTACAACTCGATAGTGGCTTGGTCTCTACGACGCAGTAGCCACAAAAAAGAATACTAGTATTATTTAAACCTTCTTTTGGTAAGTTTAGGTTGCATCCTATATACAGAGCCTTATTTCAATGCCCTTGCAGTTTTCTAAATATAAAAACACTAACAAGCTTTATCAATTTACATGCACCTGCACTCACCGATCGAGTCGACGTTCCGTTCAACTTGCGGAAAAAATGAGGTAAAATTGCTGTTCGTTTGATTTGTTTCCACTGCTGCTGCGATTGGCTGGGATACTAGTAACTAGAGCTTACTAGGATAACTTTATGAATTGTAATTTTTGCTGTAGTTGCTAAAAAGGCGCAATGAACTATAAGTCCCTACAGCGAGCTACAATGGCATACAATGACTCTTACATGCATAAAAGGATCCAAATGATATTACTTTTCGAGGCATTGTTAATAAACAAATTTTAAAATGTCCTAGGAACAAAAGAAAAAAGAGGTTCGCTGTGCTCGTGTGACGCTACATTTCTATTGTGATAATTAATTAAGCTTTTAGAACTTTCCCCTAAAACGCGTTTTTCAACCGGTTCTCTTTAGCAGAGCGACGCCCCGACGGTCACCAAACCGGTTTGTTTGTCAATATACAAAACAGCTGTCATAACACTTGTTTCGACCAATAGAGTCGTTCGCAGTGAATATGTTGGTCAGTCGACCATCTGTTCCGAATCCTCATATGTTCATAGGTCAACACCATTGTATTGATGCAGATTAGTCACGTGGAGTGGACAAACAACTTCAAATCATGACAAGGAGTTTTCAATGGCTTTAATTATAAAATGTTAATGTTTTCCAGTAATTATTTCCCTGCTAGCAGAGTCTCTCTTCTCTTTCTCTCCCTTCTTTCAGGCGGGGAGGAAGGAGACTCTATTTTTCTCTCTCAACCAAAACATAAGGAAAATAGGCTCTGCTAGCAGGGAAAGTAATTATGTGTTGAAATTTTTTTGATAAATGGAATACTTGAATTTCGGCTGCTTTTAACTTAATCGATTTGCCAAGTAAGCGTGGACAAAATGGACAAATGTGATGTTGGAACAGCTCTAGTAAAACTACAAGCAGTTTTGTTGGACAATACTAACATTTGCCATGAAAATTAAATCTTTAAGACAAGCCGATCTTTTAAAAATAGTCTCTTTTTCCCAACGTGTACCACTCAGTCCTGGAAGACAGATACCAYGACTAATTTGAATTATTATTTGAAAACCATCATGTCTTTTGCTATTATATTGTTGCCCTGAACAGCGCAAGAAAATCTGGATAAACAATGCAAGGTGCTGTAAGAAAGGGATAAGAAAAACGCCAAGACGGAGATTGACAACAATAAAAAAAAATCTTGAGAATGTTAAAATAAAAATAAGTCCGTTCAGTGTGACCACCTTCCTGGACAAAGAAATGACTGACGGTTCACATAATTTTTGTTTAAGGTCGAGAACCTACGTCGATACATATGAAATCATAGCATCAGTTGCTAACCAACAGAATTTTTTGTTAACAAGAAAATTTTAAAAGGTTCAGATAAAACGTTGATGCTTCAAACTGTATCTAGATATATTATTTATAATCGGAAAAAAATACTATGAGTTATTGTACAAAACAGGAAGATACATAGTCAAGCTATTTTTAGCAGTAACTTGTTGGTGAATGCATTATTAATCTGTAAAAAAATGCTATTTACAACTTCAAAAAGAAATGATTAAACTAGACTATGAACAGTCCCACTTTTTCTCCAGACAAGTAAAGAAGAGGTTTTAGATTACCAAGTTTAAAGATTCCAGTTGACGAGCAGAGCTTGGAGTGGAGTTTGCAGGAGCACTCACTACATGCCACTTTAAACTTGACCCCTCTCCCTGCTCRCCCAAGAAGGACTGTTAACAGTCTATGATAAAACCTGCATTGAAAACTGTTTTCAAAGACACATTGCAGAATTAGGAATACCCTTGGGTATCAGGTACCAGATGTAACCACCCATTAACCAAAGTTAATGATATAAAAGAAAACCACATTATTATCCTCTTTTCAACGTTTAAGGCTCATGAAGTTTGAGCCATACTCAGGCACGTTTCAAGGTTTTTCATTTAAAATGTGGTAATGGGATTCCTGTGATAAAGTCAAAGGGGTTTGCACCATCACGTGCTGTCACCCATAACACAGTTTGGACTGCCTGTGGTTGGATGGCATGTAAAACGATTGTATTGTTCCTTCCATCTAACATGGCTGCCATAACGTGATGGTGCAAAGCCTCTATAAGACTGTGAGAAATGCATGATAATTCACTCCTGATAAAAAACCTAAACAAAAAAGGATCAATCCATTAAGCATGTGATACACATGCATGTGGAAATATAGAACATACTTGCATCTAGCAAGATTTAGTTATATCCAAGATGAGTTGAACTTAAAAAGATCGGTCAGTTTGTTCTACCAGTTATTTATGGCAAACATTATTGGTTCAAATATCCATTTTTTCCCCCTATAAGCAGTAGTTGTAGAACAATAATTAACCACTTCAATGTTGTACCTTCCTATTTTGAGGGGTGGAGTGTGGGGATGAGGTGTGGCAGCTATGGACCCCTTACAGCTTGTCAGAATGCAGCTCAATGTGGAGGATATAACAATAGGTTTCCAATCCTCATGAGATTGAAATTCTTTTGTTTTGTCCTCCAGCTGCTTTGATGTCACATGCAAGGGGTCTATAGTCCTATGACATTTTTTTTGCCTATTATGATATTGAACAAAAGTGCTGAAAAATGACAAAAGAAAGATTTAAATCCACCCATCTATTGCTTATTAATCCATAGTCTATTGACAGTCAACCTGTCGTGACTATGTTTATCTAACTTAACGCACCTGCTGGACATGTTTCTCCAGACAGGAGCACTTCCCCAAGGATACAAGTGGTGATAAATATTTGAACTCTTGAATCTAACTAACTGACCGTGGACTTCTTGCAAAGTTCAACTCAGCTGGAAAGATCTATAGTAATTATAAAACATTTACTGGTATGAGTCATACAAGAACAAGCCTCACACATGGTGTTGGTGTACACTAGCTAGCGTAACATTATGTTTACATGATAATGTTCGTTATCTAGTCAACACCAAATACACCAATTTTCTTCTTGACTGTTCTCAATAAAATGCATTGAATTTTCGTCCCAACAAAGTGGGTCAGTGATGGACATTAATCAAGACGTTTTCATGACATATTCCAAAGGCATGTGCCCTTGCAAACTTTGTGTTTTCTGACAATTTCACAGAAACGCTTTGATTGACATCTTTGATTGTTTAGACTGCAAGTTATTTGCTTCTGTGTTTGCTATTGAGAAAGACTTTAAGGTAAAGCATTGCAAAATGTCATTGTCATCACTTTGTACAATTATTCTTTCGCTGTTGATTTCATTATTCAATCACAGCCTTAAACCTAAAAATTCTAGATATTTTTAAGAAATCTTTTGAAGTCATTTCCTCTCTTTTTCAAAAAATATAAATAAATCTGTTTGATACAAAACTATGACTGATTTTAAACAAATGCATACTGGTTATCCACAGCTCTTGAATGTCCTTCGTTAGGGTTTTCTATTGTTGCTCTAAGCGATCCACCTTGAATGACAGCTGATCTATTTATACGGCTTGCTTGTACGCTGTAAGCCCTTCTCAAGCCATCGCCATGGTTTCTGTTGCTGGTTGGTAGTGTTTGGGATATTGATGGAGTGTGTGGGATATTTACTACAAAATTGGTTAACATGACATCAGAAGGTCCACCACTTTCTAAAGGAATAGGATGGGCTCGAAAATGTTCTAGCATATCAAAAATACTCTGGAACCAAAGGTGTTGTACCCTGCATTGTCCTTCCACATTGAGTGACAGTCTAAGATGCTAAAAAACAATGAGGAAAATGAAAAACTGTTCTTAGCAACAAGAAATAGGAATTTAATTGTTTTCCTTTATAGACTTTTGGCTATCAAATATGGTCTTGCAGATATGGTTTTAAAGAAGAGAGCAGTTACAAAAAAGCTAGTTCCAAAATTCTTAGTACTCAACATGGCTAATTATTAAAAATTAGCAATTTGCACTAGTCACAGATGATTTTATTTGGCCGTAAAATAAAGCTGCATAATTTCTTTGAACAACCTAAAACAATCATTGAGCTGGTCAAATTTAAGGCACAGCAAATGCAGAGAAGTTTGAAGGAAAGTAGACAGAAAAATCTGGAGACATACAAAATAGTGCTTCTTACTTTTGCTCTCCCTTGATAATTGAATGTAAGTACATATTCTCCTCGTCTGGTTTCGCTCTGACGAACAAGAAAGATACCATGCCACTGTTGACTTCCCTGCGACACCAAATGAGATGCCTCAAGCCTGGAAAGTGTCCCATGGAACCATGGGTAGTTGGCTAATGGGTGGTTCTCATCGGAGGCTGACACCCAAACTGGATTTTCTAAAAAACAGAATCAACATTTGGTTATTATCATATAGGGCATTGTGAAAACAGCATTTGAATACAATACAATATTTTTTCTTTAGTTTATAAAATGTATAATTATGATAATAAAACAAAAAAGACAGCTTTTTTCCCATGCTCTTTCAGTATAAATGCAGCACTGAAGAAGTGTAAAAAGCACTCGCATATGACTCATCCTTCTTTCCCCACTTCTTTTGTGCTTACGTCCCTAAGATTGCATCCTTTATTACTGAACCAAGCACCAAAAAGCTGTTTTATTTGGCTTTATCTTAGAAAAGTTACAAACCATCTTGATGATTGTCATCAGGTGTTCTTGGTAAACTGTTCCCATGTAGTGCTCCATGACCCGTGGAACTGCTTGGTAACTGCGGGGGTTCTATACTTGTTGGTGATCGTGGTGGTAGTTCAGGAGGGGGACCTCTATTGAGTGGCTCAGCTAAAATTTAATTAGACCAAAATATTTGTACTAAATAACTAAATAGCTATTAAATTGATATGGGAAAATGTTATATAAATGTTTTTGAAAGTTCTTAACTTGTAATCGCATAATAGACTAGTGCAATTACAAGAACTTTGAAAACATTATTCCTACTTATTAATAATGAAGTATTGTACACAGGGTCATGGGATTTCCTACACCTATGGGCATTATCATCATGTTTTCTCTAGAGACCTAAACTAATGTGAAAACCTCAATAGGCATGAAATAAAATATAGTGGATATTCGAGTGGTGAAAATATTTTACGAGTGAGCACAGCGAACAAGTGAAATAATTTTCAACACGAGTAGATCAACTTCATATCTTCGTGCCAACGTGTAATTTTCTTTTTATTATATAGACAATTCCACAAAGAAAAACCACGCTAGTTGATCAAAACAGGTCCCGGAAAAAATTGCAAGTGACGTCATCGATATCCTCACTAGTGAAGATATGGAAAATATGTTACTCAGGTCCCGGATGTAGTTTGTACGAAATATACAAGTGGCTTATTTTCTAGTAAAACACTCATGTCTATATAATAACTACATTTATTGCACTTTAGAGTCAATATCAGTGTGATAAAGCCATGGATAAAAACCACATCAGTGAAGTGATACAATATCACTTCACAGTGAACTGGAAATTGTAAATTTTGTCATTTTATCGACCCTAAATGTGTAATAAACAAATTATCATGTGGTAATCTCTATATACAGCTATTTCAAAAAAGATTCATTAGGTGCAAGTTCTGCTGCATGTTGTATACCAAGCCCGAACTGCAATCACCAAAAGGTCATGACAATATTGAGTTTTACCAAACTATATCTGCATGTTTTTTCTGGTATATATTTTTTATCTGTGTTGACTGTCATTATTTACATATGAATATAATACAATTCAGATATGGTAAACGACATGAAGCATACAACAAAATAATCACCAACCATTCTTGTAATAGCTACAGTATACTGGTATATGGCTTATTACCTCAGTTCTCAGTATTTACTGGTATCTCTAATTTATACACTGTTACTTACTAGGACTGTCCAGATTAGCTGGTCTATTGAAGGACCATAGTGATGACTGACGTCCTGCAGGGCTTTGTGCATTCCTCTTTCTAATGTTTTTATTTTCTGTGGTAATAAAATTTAGAAGGTAAAACAATCAAGGTGTTTGACTAAGGTTTTTGCTAAATTCCAATTCAATCTGTGTGTTAGCCAAGGCCTAAGTTAGCAACTGTAGTACACTCCCCTCTCTGGGGTCTCAAGTTTGATTCCTGGACTCAGCATCACATGTCAGTCAGTAGAGTTTGTTAGGTCTCTTCCTTCATTTGAAGGTTTTTCTTCGTCAGTAAGTTTCCCTCAGAGAATTTTCCTCCCTCTGTGAGTTAGCTGTGTCCTGACTTTCATCAGTTCAAAGGCTGCTTTTAGGTAACAAAGAAATGGAAGGGTATTTTAAAGTCAGAGGATTCAAGGACATTTATAGACATTTTCAAGGCATATTCAAATACATTTGAATAGGAATACAGGGCTTTGGACCATCACACGCCTACCTTCACAATAAAGGTTGGGCTACCAATGGCTAGATGTCAGAACAATAAAATCCCTTTGCTCTCGGGAATTGAATTCTTTCTCATGTAAAACAATTGTATTGTTCCTGCCATCTAACATGGTTGCCGTCAGGTGATGGTGCAAAACCTCTGTTGCCTCTGAGGTCCTAATACTAGGGAGATGGATTATCAGTAAATACTTCCCAAACTGGTAACTCAAGCTAAAACAGCAGAAGGAGCTTTAAAAACCCTTGTTACATGTTACTGCCAATCACAACCACCAGTACTGCGTGGTGCAGCTCAACAGGGTCACACGAAAAGCATGTAAAGGTGCCTCTGGCAGACATGACTCCAGAGCACAGCTCTAACCAGTTACTGTAGAATGAGTTAAGGTTGTTTTTGAGAGGATTTATGGCACATCATTACCTATGGCACCATGGGTATCTAGCTTGAGGTTTAAAGACTTGCTTCCCTTTTTGATCGCTGTGGGAGGAGTTCTTTGCTGAGAGGCAGCGGAGGCCGCAGCAGGTGGGACTTCCTCTGGGCTTGTAGGGGTTGGTGTATTTGGCCTGTGATCACCAAATAAACAATACTTTAATGCGTTAGATGGGATTTGAGGGAAGGGGGGTCATTGGAAAAAAAAACAGGCTCAAGAGAGGGTGCACAAGAAAAAGTCACACAGCATTAATGTGATAAACAGAATAACAAACAAGGGGAGGGGCGGCCATTTTTAGGGGGGGGACAGATTTTTCATATGGGTTACCAAGAAAATCCCACTGCCCCCTCCCCTCCCTGATAAAAAATGAACAGTCCCTAATGAACCACAAATGCTTACGCTGATGACGATGACCCTTGATCCTCTTCTATACATAAAGATATCTCACTTAACCAGTTTTCCATCTCCTCTTTATCATTTGCAGCCAACATGTATTCTCTTTTATTTACTGCCTACACAAACAAAAATATGTCAAGATCACCATGAATATACAAAGTCTACAAATACATTGAATTCAAATAATCACTGGTTATACAATAGTTTTCAGTGGTACACCCAGGTATATCCCACAAGGCACTTTGGGCAAGTGAGTATACAAGAGGTGAGGAGAATATTCTGCAGGGTGTTGCAAGAAATCATTTTTGACTATTCTATCCCATTCCTTAGATAGGTAGAAAGTATTGAATAGAGTGGATATCTTTCAAATTTTATAGATACCCTGAAATAACGTTGGGGAAACCTAAGGGTGCTTTCCATTAAGTCAGAACTGATTGGCCTGAATGGCTAGTTCTGAAATGGTATGCATAAGTTCATAGAACTGGACCATTGCAGCCCAAACCAGTTCTAAGAACTAACAGTTTAAGAATTGGCCGTTTAGACCAATCAGTTTGGCTTAATGAAAAGCGCCATAAGTTAGGGCATGACTAGCCCATAGATTGAATTGGAATTTAGCTTGTTMGGTTTTCAGCAGGAAGGAAAACCAGAGAAAAAAACCTTCAAATCAAAGAGAGAATTTATATATCACAGGGCTACAAATAATGACCAATCAGTCCCTGGTCATGATGACCAGCCAAATTAGTTTTAGCTCGTTTTTAGCTTAATGGTTTTAGTTAAAACCACCAGCAAAGCAAAAATTTGACCAAACAATTTCCAATCCTGACCGGACATTGCCCAATGCTCGGCCATTATTTCTAACCCTGTATCTTTTATAGAAATGAAAAGAATATAAAGAATGACCTTTATGACAAAGACATTTTGTCCCATAGGCATCTCCAGCTCTGTTGCTGGTCTAACTTCATGAATCAGAAAACAAAAGATACCATTCTTTGGCTTTGGTGACTGCAATAAAAGAACAAATGACAAGGTATTAACCTCGTATGAATAACACGCTAAATATACTAAGCACTGGGAAACCAAATACTGTAAAAAGGAACAGGGTAAACAAAGGAACTACAAGTATTATTTGCTCTGTTAGTTCCTTCTGTTGAAATACTTATGGTTACATTTGCATAAAAATGCAGAAGAAAAATTTTCAGACAAATTTTAGAGGAGCCAAAAGAAACATAAAACTTGTAGTCATTTTCTCATCATGTTTTGTACTAGAGATAGAGATGCTCAAGCAAATATAAATGGCCAAAATGGAGGCCATCTTGGAAATGGAAATGTCTCCTAAAACAGCCCCAAAATGCACTGCAATGCCGACTCCACCCAGTATTTTCCTCAATCTGAGAAGGGCTTATTTAATAACATGCATGGAATCATGATCACAACAAAGTAGGTCTTTGTTGATATGAATCAAGGTGTTTCCATGGCATTCTATAGGTACATGACCTTTGCACAAATGTAGAAATAAGTCTGTAGTCAAGGATCATAGCAGTACTTCCTGAATGTGAAAAGGGTCTAAAAGGTATTTAGCAAGGTACAGGCTAGTATAGTATTTATTATTATTTTAGACTATTAAAGAATTGGTTATTGATAAGCATGCTTCAATCAGGTTTTGGGTGCATGTGAGAAGTTGCTAACCATGAAGAAAGCGTAAGAGTCACACGAGGCATGTAGTTGAGTGTGACTCTAGCTTCTTATGTATTTTAACAACTGACCAAGTGTGCCCAAAACTCAATGAAAGCATGCTAATCGATGACCAATGCTTTTATAACAGCAAAAGTATTTTAAAAATCTCTATTACACAGCATGCACTACTCAATCACATGCACACACCACATGCATGCTCGCAAACACTAATTAACCAATCAGAGTGCATGTTGTATTGTGGCTATGTTATAAAATGTACTGCACCATCCTGTACTATTTAGTGCAAAATATACATACAGTAGTAGTGTTTCACATGGATATTAGTGCAAACACTCTATCATAGAGTAAGCAAGAGCCGTAGACAAGTGCTTCTCACACTTCTTGAGTGCTTAGGGGCCTCCTAAGTGCTTTATTGCTGAAGGGAGCACGGAAAAAGCTGTTTTATTTGTTTTATTATATAGCTCCTAATTTTTTTGGTACTGAATTTATTTTTGCAAAAAGAAAGATGTTCACAGGATCTAGCAGCACTTCAGGCGCTCAGATTGCATCAGCACTGTGCTCCATTCACTAATAAAGCACAATTTTTGACCAATGAGCGCACCTGTACTATCCTAACTATATAATAAATACTTATAATGCAGATTAGCAATAAAAATACAATTGTATATAGCTAGTAGAGTGATTTTACTTCCCCTGTAACCCATAAAACAAAAAAATTACTTGTTTATGTGTAAAAGTCAAATAGACAAAAGAAAAAAGACAACAATAGATCTGAAATAAGATCTACAGCATTCTATCAGTCTTCTAACTACTTCATGGGAGCCATTCTGTACCAGTATAAATGATTATCTAGATTATTTATGACGTCTGCTGGAGAAGTCCTAAATAATAAAGACTTCAAATTAGAAATGACAAAAAGAAAACAATAGATTCGAAATAAGATCTACAACATTCTATCAGTCTTCTAACTATTTCATGGGAGCCATTCTGTACCAGTATAAATGATTATCTAGATTATTTATGACGTCTGCTGGAGAAGTCCTAAATAATAAAGACTTCACATTAGAAATTATATCAYTGATTCAAAGATAGAGTTAAATTAAAGTCAAATTTCGAGAGGTTTTACTGTGATTGAGATAATAATTAATGCAGAATCAAGAAAAGTTTTTAATTACTTAATTCGATTGACATATATAACTTATTCTTTTTTGACATTTTAAAAAGTCCAATTGCCAATTTTTACTTTCGAGTTAGATATGACTGTATTAAAAATACTGACGCTATGTATAGAAAAATATTCTTCAAGTTAAGCTTATATAGCCATTAAATTAATCCCTAATTACTTCAAAGCTGCTAAGCCATTAATAATAAATAGCAAAATACGTACAAACTACTGGCATATTTTATATAATAAATATYAAAGGGAAAATAAACAATGGCTCCCAAATAAGCTTACCTTAGGAGGGCAATAAAATTCCAGCATATAGCCACCCGGTGCTTTAAGGATAACGACCCTGCATTTTTGCCAAAAATAGTCCTCTGTATCAACTCCTTGGTCTAAATTCATCAAATAGTTCATAATTCCTTCTTTTTTTATGCTAGTTGTGATCATCTTACAGTGTTTTTCGCTGCTCGTTTGCTCATTTTGGGTCGACAGTGACGGTGAAGCGTTCCGGTGTTCACCACCACCACCACCACCAACACAGACTTTCGGGCCAACAGTTTCATCTATAGACCGTTTAAATAAATCTTTTACATCCCTAAGTTTCCTCATTATACTAAAACTTGATTCTCGATCCTTTTTTTCAGGCGCTTGTTTGAAATTTCCTGTTAAATGAATGTTGGAGCCCCAGTCATCGGGACCAAATACTTCGGTTGGTGACTCGGGCTCAACGAAGTCATGAGAGCCATTCTTATGAACTTCTTGGTTAAAAATCTCGAGGAAGTAGTCCACAAAACGCTTAGAGAAAGTATATGAGGCTCCAGATACGTCGTATACAGGGTTATCTGAGACAAACTGGAGGAATTCGCGAGTGAAAGTCTTGGCTGCGTTGTCTGCTCGGTCCTTGCAGAATTCCTCCCATCTTCCACCTGGAAATTTGGAGGTAATTTCGCCATTATAGCAAGCCATTAAAGACGATGTTTGTCCCCTCACATTCTAGTATAGAATGCCATTATCTATGACTTGGGGAATGGCTTGGAAAGTCAGAATTTTTGGTCATTTTTATGGCATTCCGTAGCAACGTTGCTCTACTTGCAAAACTCAATTGAGAAATGGTTAGCGGGATATACCAAAACACCATGCGCAGTAAATATCTACTGATGCACCACTTCCGCTTTCCTTTCACAGTAGAGTAATTCTTTTAATCTCCTTTTTGTCCTGAGATCTTTGTTTCTTTGCTTTAAAAATGCGTAAATTATTTATTTAACTACAACAGGATGCTGGACACAGCAAAGTATCAGCATGACTGTTTAACGCCGAGGGGATATAATCTGTTTCCGTAACGCGCTATTTCCGGTAGGGTGTGGATTTGCTTATCTATTGTTTAATATATATAACTGTCTTTAAAATAAAACTTAAGAGTAGGTTACTTGTTAAGTTATTGATGCATATCTAATAATGAGAAACACATCCTGTTGAGGTATGTAGAGCTGATCGTTTCTTTCGCGGTACTAAGCTATTTTCGTTTTCGTTTGGTAAGTTTGAACCATCATACTTGACGTACTTCCCCTATCTCTAAACAAGCACGTAAAAATATAACCTCCAAAAATAGCTATTAAGAAAATATGTAGAAATATGTTGTGGGTGTGTGTGGGGTGTGTGGTGTGGGATGGGGTGGGGTGGGGGACCCTCCGTCTCTGTGATTGGCGACGTGAGCCGGTTCAATGCTTACAGTAGCGGACAGAATAACAAAAAGAACGATTCAATCATAATACGAATTGACTAGTTTATTTGGTATTTATACATTTAAAACAAGATATCTTAAATAAGCATTTTTTTAAACTAATCTACAAAAGGTATTGGCCAGTATCGATTAACCATATATTCCGAGGTTGAGGAAAAAACTGGGTCGCGTTGGCATTGCAGTGCATTGTGGGATTTTCTTTAGGGACATCGTTCGAAGATAGCCTCTATTTTCTACAAAGCCAACTCGACCCAGTTTTCTCTTAACCTCGGAATGGCTAATTGGTCGATTCTAAGCTGTGAGATGCCAGACTTAGGCATGTTTGAAGGAACAAGGGTCAAGCGGTGAGTCATTACAGTAATCACAGTAACCCGGAAAATTCAAGTACCGGAAAAACTTTTCACTATGACAACCTGATTGACCTTTTTGACGCTAATTAAGAGTTTGTCAAGTTTATCCACGTTATGAATGTACATGTTTTACTGTAAAGAACGGTCTAGAGGGGAGTCGTAGTTACTACTGCTGGTGCTGAAGGGGGGGGGGGGGGGGGGGGGGG